GAATGCAGTCCAGATGTCCATCTGGCACTCCCTAGACAGATAGGCACCAATGGATGACCATTGATCATGATAGCCAGGCTTAGCTAAGTGCATCCCCATTTGGGAGCTGTCCCTTATCAAAAGAAAACATCTTTAAATCAGCCTGCATAAATAGTTTCTCTGTGGCTGCACCACAGAGATGAAGAGAGAGATGGGGCCTCATTCGGGAAAGCACAGCAACACTTAATTCTGTCTTATTAACAAACATTGCTGCTACACAATAAATATTATCAACACTATATTGTCATTACAAACATGTATGCCATACGGCATATGCGTTACTGAAGCTAAAAGTTTAGCCTTTGTTACTAATGTAACCACTAAATAAAGACATAAATATAGAAACCCCTACATTACAAACTGTAAATGGCTGGTATTGGTAATTTAAAGAAAAAAATACACACTAGTATTTCACTTTCTCCCATTTGTACGTGCTCCTTCTGACCATATTAAGTTTAATATGTGAATATTTAATATGTGCAAAAAGTGAATCCTGTTTTTTATGGTCTGTAGCTCAAATCCTGCTTAACTAAAAATTAGACACAAGAAGAGTAATTTTGGACAATGTTGTGAGGCTAAAGAAATCAATAACGATATTCATTTAAAGATCTAAATATATTTAACGCATACGCCTGACATTACATGCTGTGCCTGCTCATCAGGACGGTGACGTAACCGCCTTTCTCTCTCAATAGCTAGGAGGGACCCCAGCCGTCGGGCAGAGGAGAGATCTCCCTTTAGATTTAAAAGGTTATTAATAATATCTTCAGTGTCGCATTAACAATGTTCTTCCAAGTGTAAAAAGAGACGATACTCAATGTGTCTCCTCTATAAATTTCCAGTTTACAGACCGTACAAGATAATTTATTATGAATAACGTCTTCCGTATCGCATTAAAATTGGAAGTTTCACCCCTCCCCCTTCCCTCTGCCTGTCTGACTTTTTTTGTGTAAACCGGTTTTACACATTTTAAGCATACTGTAGTTTTGACCGCGGGCACTTTTCATCCCCCTCTTCATTTTCAAAGTAGAATAGGCGAACCTTCCAATGAAAGACAGTCCCCCTTCCTCCCTCGCACAGACTGACAAATGTTTTATTAGAAAAAGAGATTCTCAACGCAAAGCTCTGTCAGTCTTCTGTGTAAAAAAACGGTTTGAACATCATGGTTGCTGTTTTTAATAAGCTGCTGAGTAAAGAATACGAATTTTCCTGGTGTCAGCAGTATTGTGTATATAGTTGACCTTTACCTGAATGAAAACAGGACATAACGAAAGGTTTTCAGAAATCAAACAAAGCTTATTTCCCATGCTTACAGGGTTCCAGTTACTGCGTAATTACGCATCGATGAAACACCGGAGGTTTACAAAAAGAGAATTAGCTCATTGATATGATATGTAGAGGCTGTGAAAATTTTCACAAGTAGAGGTCTTTAAAACACATTTAGTTTGAAGGCTTTCTGTGTTTCCCTTGCGAAGATATGGACATAAGAATATTTCTGTGTGGTAAAAAAATGGCATAAAAAATGACACAGCCAAGCACTGCTGCGACTTTTGTAGTTATTCCAGACCAGGGTAAAGTTAGCTTAGTTAGTTCGAAAATGATTTTGGCACGCATGTAGCGTTTTCACAAAACCTCCTGAGTTGTGAGAACACTTGCTTTGTGTATAAAGTATAGTGAGAATGTTTTCACAGCCTTCACTTTGTCATTCTTATGCAATGTTATGTCCATATCTTCGCAAGGGAAACACAAAAAGCCTTCAAACCAAATGCATTTTAAAGACCACAACTTGTGAACATTTTCACAACCCCTACATAAACAGATCAGTGAGCTAATTATTTTTTTCTGACACTTGGGAAAACTTGGGGTTTTGATTGATGCACAATTATGCACCATCTTTGTCAGATTGTGAATCAATAAAGGCATTTAATTAAACAAGCGTTTGCGATTTTAATTAAAACAGGGGTAATGGGGTTAGACCATTAGACATGCAATACACATCCTTGTGATAATCTTAGAATCTTTGTGTAAGCTTTAAGTTTTTTTTACTTTTTAATAAAACATTTTATACACTTTAATTTTGTAAACGCAACACACATTCCGTACAGATACAGTAAAATCACGTTCTCCTGTCTTCCCGTGGTGAAAAACGAATTAGCAGGTGATTGAGATAACAATGCATCGCCCAGTGAAATGTTCTTCTTTACAAGTGTAAAAAGAGGTGATACGTGTCTCCTCTATAACTCTTCAGTTTACAAAGAAATTCCACCAGACCCTCACAACATTGTCCAATAATACTCTTCTTGTGTCTAATTTTTAGTTTAGCAGGATTTGTGCGATAAGCACATTGTTTAATGGGGATGACATTACCCATGTCTGTTATCACTGTACAACACTACTTCAGGTGATGTAGCCATGTCAGTCTGCATAGTCTGCAAAGGAACAAGTAATAGGTTTATTCCATGCTGAAAAGAGAAGAGAGAAAACGCAACATTTCGGCTGTGAAGCCTTCTTCAGGTGTGAGGGTCTTCAGCTCAAAATGAAATGCTTGGAGCTTGTAATGTAGGGCGCTCTGAACGAGTTAAACTTTGTTGAGGGCTTGCCAGTGTAGTGACGTCACTGCCTTTCATATGAATAAGAGGGACCTGGTCCATTAGGGTCAAAGGTAGATCTCGCTTTAGCTTGGATGGCTGCTTCCTTGTTGAGTGATGCTGGAGGCCTGGGTTCAATTCCCCACCTAGTAGGATGTGAGCCTGAAAGTGCTACATTATTAATTATATCTTCTACAGGATGTCGCATTAACTAACTCTTCAGTTTATTCCGCCAGACAGTACATGAATAGAATTATATCGTATATTATATTCCCTGTTAATCAAAATCTAAAAGTATGCTTTTGTTTATGCCAATAACGAGTGAATTCACAGAAAAGGTTTAAATACTATCACTTTTCACATAGTATATAAACTTAATATGGTCAGAAGGAGCATGTAAAAAATGTTTCTGCAATTATTAAAGAGTAATAATTCCCTAAAACGCAGAATAGCAGGCTCCCTATAGCAAGGTTCAGATACTTAGTTCCAATCAGGTTTTGTTCAGTCATGAAGTGGTGGCTCTTGCCTCCTGCAAGATTCAACTTCTCACCACTCCTTTTTCTCTCTTGTTCTCTGACCTTCTTTTCTCTTCTTTCCCTTATCCCCTTCTTTTTAGCCTCCTGATCTGATCTTATATGTTATGTTTCTGGACTGTTGATTGACACTTAATCATTTACTCACAATATAACTAAGGTAAACCAAGGTTATGATTTGATTTGTTTACAGACTCTGGAACCCCTGCATCTCAGCAAACATCCCTGTATTTGAAGGTGGAAATGTTCAGACTGCCAGGTGATACACACTTTATCTGTACTCTTAGAGATACTTCCCAGTCACCTATAGCTGTAACAATGTATATACAGGTCCAGCCATTCAAAATGAGCAAGGTACGCTCTGGGAAAATGTGGTGGGCGTGTAAAACTGTGTATTGCAGCATGTTAATCATTAAACATTAAAAACTTGGTTTATTTTATAAAAGCAAGATTGCTCAGTTGCATAAAACACAACCTTCCACCTTCATCATAAATATTTTAATTATGCAGAAATATTTTATGCATCAAAGTCTATACTAATAGTATTAATAATGAATGACCTTGGACAGGCTGCAAGCTCAAAGGATTACCGTATTCTTTGTAACTGTCTGCATCAGTTTAATTGTTTCAACACGAAAAGTCTTTATTTTTTCATTGACTAAATGTAACACCACAGCATGTTGTTGATCCGATCACATATATGTTTCTAATCACACTAAGTTTTGAGAATCTCCAATTCATCATGCCTTTCACATGCTCATAAACGATATTAATTTAGGAACATAAATATACCTGTATTATGTAAAATGTATATGGCTGGTATTGGTAGTTTAAATAAAAAATACACACCAGTATTCTACTTTCTTCCTATACATTTTAAGCATCTTAAAAGTCTTGCATTCGGTTACATACTGTGGTTAATTTGGAAAAGGATTTACGTGCTCTTTCTGACTACATTAAGTTTATATACTTTGTAAAAAGTGATAATGTTTTAACCTTTTCTGTGAATATGCTTGTTATCGCAGTAAACAAAAGCATACTTTTTAGAATTTGATGACTAGGGAATATGATATGGAATCGCGTATCTAAAGAAATTAATAATGATATAATTATATTCATAAACTGCATGTGTATGTACATATCTTGTAAAAACATTACATTGCAAGACTGTGTTCAAACATACAGATGCACCCATACATACAGATATTAACGATATAATTATATAAACATCACTTTATTAACCCTTTACAATTTCTTGCATTAGGAATTATCTTTTTGCATACCCCACCTTGCTCTCCATGAGACACACAGATAGGGAAAGAGCCTAGGGTCAGAGCACAGGGTCAGCCATTGAACAGCACCCCAGGGGCAGTTGGGGTTAAGGGCCTTGCTCAGGAGCCCAACAGAGTAGGATTCCTCTGCCAGCTGCAGGATTTGAACCAGCAACCTTCCAGCCACAGGCACAGAGCCACCGCTCCACCCCCAATGTGGTGCTCTTTCTCTTTCTCTGCTGCTGCACAGGCGCAGGGGTTGTGCTGGCTGTGCAAAAAATTAAAGCGCCGGTTTTCAGTTGACGAGTGTCTGAGTCACTGTGTCTGTCCTCGCCGAACCCGAAAATACGACATTATTAATAATGTAATAATGCACTTTTGGGCTCACGTGGGTATGAGCCCTGCCCCGCTGGCATACGGTTTACTGAAGCTGGAAGTTTAGCCTTTGTCACTAATGAAACCACTAAATAAAAACATAAATATAGAAATCCCTACATTACAAACTCCAAGCATTTCATTTTGTCTATTGCTGAAATATCGACAGCAGTGTAGTTACAAGGAACATGTCAAAATGTTTCCAAAATAGCCACAGTTGAACAATTTGAGGGTTTTGATAATAGAGAGTCTTTATTACCCCCATTTTGATTAAAATCGCAAACGCGTGTTTAATTAAATGCCTTTAATGATTCACAATCTGACAATGCAACGTAAATCGTTAACTTTAAGCATAGCTTTCTCACCATTTAGATTTATTTTTCATGCCATTGTTAAAGCAGGACAATATTGTACTTCCTCATGGGATCACACATGGAAAGATTAGATTGTAATCGTTTTTTAAATAAAATTTAGAAAACTGTCATCTATACAAAAAAGTTGTATTTATTTAATACCACTTGATAGCTATATTAATAGAGATAAGAATTCAGGTTGTATACTGTTTAGACTTTTAATCATATTAAACTGTATTATATTATGTTAAACATCGGTATGTTAAAAAGTCAGTATATTTTATAAAAGCAAGATTGCTCAGTTGGACAGTATAAACAGTATAAAGCAAGTATGTTTTTTAATGTTTGTAATCACTATTCTTGCAAATTCATTTTGTATTCAGTTTCTTTCTGTGCGTTAGCTGGTGGGCAAACGTTCGAGGTGTGTTTATATAGTTGGTAGTATTACTGTATTAAAAAAAATAAATAAAAAGGTTTAACAACCCAAAGTGAGGCTTGGAAAGGTCAGAGGACCTGCCTAGTTTGTAAAACTATTAGTTGCATCATTGTGGGTGTTGTGGTTTAAATGCTATTGGCTCGTGAACAGCATCCCCCTATAACAGTGCATAGTGCCACATTAAATAAAACCATCAGAAAAAGATTCACAATGCAAAGCTGTGTTAGTCTTCTGTGTAAAAAATCAGTTTGAACATCTTGGGTTATGTTTTTTAAAAGCTGTTGAGTGAAGAATAGGAATTTTCCTGCTGACAGCAATATTGTGAATATAGATTACCCTTACCTGAATTAAAACAGGAAGAAAGTGTTTCAGAAATAAATCCAAGCTTTATTCCTATGCTTATAGTCTGGATAATTGGAGTGAAGGCTGTGACAAAGTGAAGGCTGTGAAAACATTTGTCAGTCTGTCTGTGGGGGGAAGGGGGACTGTCCTTCATTGGTTCCTATATTCTACTCATACATGAATATAGAGGGGGTGGAAAAGTGCCCGCGGTCATTTTTTTCACTGACAGACAAAGTTGTGTTGTGTTGTGCTAACAAAAACTACAGTATGCTTAACAGCTGTTCAATTGGTTTAATTCAAAACACTTTAGTCAGTGGGGCAATTTAACAGATGCCTCAAGCCTTAAAATGAAATCGTATATATTGTAATTGGGTCTGGTCATTATTAACAGTATTAATTTAATAATAATAATTTCAAGCTTCTTGTAACTTTTTAAGAGTCATTTTTTTCTTCGTTTTTCAACCGCGGTAAAGTTAGCTTGAAGTTCAAAAGTGATTTTGGCACGCCTGTAGCCTTTTCACGAGACCTCCTAGAGAACACTTACTTTATGTTTAAAGTACAATGTGAATGTTTTTACAGCCTACACTTTTACTGGTCATTTTTACAGCATTTTTAAGACAGGCATAAACTATTACTAATCAATAATTAGTATTACAATTCACACTATGATAAATTGTTGCACTTCCACATCTTGTAAAAACATTACATTGCAAGACTGTGTTCAAACATACAGATGTAGCCATACAGGTACATGCAGATAATAACGATATAATCATATTCATATACTGTAACTCAAATCCTGCTAAACTAAAAATTAGACACAAGAAGAGTATTATTGGACAATGTTGTGAGGCTCTGGCGGAATTTCTGCTGTCTGTTGCTATTGAAAAGCCCTGCGTGATGTTTTAGCAGCAGACAGATTAGGCAAAAACAGACTGTTAACAGGCTGTTTCGTGTTTTTCTTAAAATTGTTGAGCGCAGTGGGGGACATTGGGGAATGTGATTGCTTTTGTTCTGTCTTACATTGTCAGATTGTGAATAAATAAAAACATTAAAAAAATAAATATAAGGTAACCAGCAATAAAATGTCCTGTTTTTTTCTTAACACTAATTTTTCCATACTGTAATTTGAGTCTTTGTGTAAGCTGTAAATTCTTTTTACTTCTTAATTAAACAATTGAAACACTTTAATATTGTAAATGCAATGTGCATTCCATACAGACATACAATTGGGTGTTAATCAGATTAGCAGGTTACTGAGGGTGGTACATTATTTCCCACTGCATTCTGGGGAATGTTGTTTTGACAAGAAACCTCCATCTTGTCTCCATCACTCACAATTTATCATGTGTGAATGAGTCAAATTAAAAATAAAACGTGTTTACAAAGAAAGTGAATTACAGTAACACTACCAGCTATATAAATACATATATTTAGATCCTTAAATTAATATCGTTGTTAATTTCTTTAGATATGCGATTCCATATTATATTCCCTATTCATCAAATTCTAAAAAGTATGCTTTTGTTTACTGCGATAACGAGCGTATTCACAGAAAAGGTTAAAACATTATAACTTTTTACAAAGTATATAAACTTAATATAGTCAGAAGGAGCACGTAAAACCTTCTCCAAAATAACCACAGTATATACCCAAATGCAAGACTTTGATGCTTAAAATGTTTAAGAAGAAAGTGGAATACTGGTGTGTATTGTCTTTGCCCTTGAAGTTGTCTTCACATCATGTGTGACTGAAACAGAGATCTATAGAACCAGCTCCCAGCTCCCAGCAGTCCGTTAAGACTGACCCTTCAGCAGATCAACCACTAGAGTGAGGAAGATGAGTTTCACTAGGATGCTCACTGATATGAGCCTGGTTTTATTTAAGCTGAACTTCCATCAGGTGTATTTGCAACAGATTGATGGACAATTGATGATGTTAATGAAGTAGGCAGTTCTAATTATTATTGTTAATATGGGTGTTTCCATCACACTGTTATTGTAATTATTCGTTTACAAAGTCCACCACCGTCCTCGCAGTGGAACCTGACCAGGGAGTCCTATAGACATGTGGGTTCAGGGTCAACAGGGTGACTTGTATAAGTAGACAGACACTGGTAGGTGTAGGTAAACACTTCATACCTGAATTGCAGAGTATAAAATAATGTATTCTAGACAGTAAATTTTAAGTAAATGTTAGGTTATTTACTTAAAAACAAGGAATTTATTGAAGGACGTTCTGGTAAAACTGTTTAAAGCAGCAGTGAGGTGTCATTTAAAATCGTGTACAGTTTGTTTGAATTTAGTCAATATGCACTGTAGGGATGCAAGCAATCACAGAGCAGTCCAGTGTATGTTTAATATGAGTTTAATTGTAACGGAAATTGTCATTTCCAGAGAACACAGAAGGAGACACAAAATGTATTTCCCACAGTGCACTGAATCACAACAGTTTTACACAGGTTATTATAGCCAGGGTCCAGCCATGTTATTACAATGAATAGGGTTTTAAGTGTCTGCATTCTACTTATGGTCCAGTGGCAATTCTTGTTGATGTTGTCCTGTCTTCTAGCTATTTCTTTACTGTCAGATACAACAGCAGATGTCTGTTCTAAAATTCTTTAAAGCCTGGTCAAGAGCCAGGTCAATGACCCCAGGCCAGAGCCAGATACGTATGTGACTTCAGCTGACCAGCTCTGCCTCTCCAGTAGAAAAGTGACTCCAGGATCTCTGAGCTGCTCCAGTCTGAAAACCAGCAGAAACACCCTGGAGTTCAGGCTCATGCTCACACACTGGGACTGTGTGCTGCCTCCTGCTGCTCCTTCCTTCTGGCCATGAAGAGAGAAAGGGGCTTTCAGGCTGGAGAAGAAGAAGCAGGTCAACACCAATACCAGCACAGTTACCCCTGACCTTCACAATGGCAGAAACAGAGAGACTTATTAATCCTGCAGAACGAAAGAATTGCAGTGACACAATCTGCTGTCTCAATAATAGTTCTTCAAATTCAAAGCAGAAGACACTGCTAAAGTGTACAGTACCTTTTCATGTAAAAAAATACTTAATTTTCCAAATGGCTACTCATGACAGTTTCTATATTCTGTTTTCCACTGAAAAACATCATATCCCAAGAACCCATTCATGTGCATCCTGTTCTCTGCCTCACTGTTTTACAGCCTCTCTCTGTTTTTTGTGAGCTCCCATTCAGTAAATTTTCTTTTTATTATTAGTGACTTAGCTTCTGTAAGTTCAAGTCCTGTTTGCGCAGCACTTCCTGATCTTTTCAACTGTCTCTGTTCTTCACAGGGTCAAGCTGGACAGACCAGGGTCACCAGTGCCCAGCTGTATGTCTATGAAGAGTGACTTTTCAATGGATCAACCAATACACTTCAGAGCTGGAGACTTCAATCCTGACCACAGGTGAGGTCACAGTTATCCATGGAGTGAATCTGTCAGCAGGTCATGAGATAATATTGTGTGAACTGGATCACTTCTCCGTTTCTTATTTCCTTCATTCTCTGAGAAGCTTAAGAAGAATAAAAATACTGAAAATAAAAAACAAAATTCTACAGCTAGTAGTTTCTCATGACTAAGGGATGAAAGAGTGTGTATCCACTGCAGACATGATCACAGACACACACAGGCGTGGAGGAACAGTGAGCTGCAACTGAACACAGGAGTGAAGAGAAGCAGAATATAGAACCTGGATTTCTCAAATCAGATCAACCACTAGAGTGAGGAAGAGGAGCTCCAGTAGGACACTCTGTCCATTTCCACAATAATGTCCAGCTGGTTTTATTGAGTTGAGCTCCCTGTGAGGTGTATGAGCAGAAGATTGATGACAACTTGATGATGATGGTGGTGCTGGCAGCTGTAATTATTATTGTCTACAGGGGAGCGTCCATCACTCCGATATTGTAATTATTGGTTTAGAAAGTCCAGTCCCTTGTCCTCACAGTGGAACCAGGTCAGTGTGAGCTGCATGTGAAGTTCGAGTCAACAGGTTGATCTTTTAAATTGTCTCTGTTGTTCATAGGGTCCAGCTGCAGAGACCAGAGTCACCAGTGCCCAGCTGTGTGTCCATAAAGAGTGACTTTTCAATGGATCAACCAATACACTTCAGAGCTGAAGACTTCAATCCTGACCCCAGGTGAGGTCACTGTTGTGCATGAAGTGTATCTGTCAGCTGGTCATGAGATATTGTGTGAACTGGATCACTTCAGTGAGTTGTAATTGAACACAGGAGAGATGAGCAGCAGAATATAGAACCTAGATTTCTCAAAACAGATCGACCACTAGAGTGAGGAAGAGGAGCTCCACTAGGACACGCTGTTCTTTTCCACAATAATGTCCAGCTGGTTTTATTGAGTTGAGCTCCCTGTGATGTGCATGGGCAGCAGATTGATGACAGCTTGATGATGATGGTGGAGTGCTGTAATTATTATTGTCAATAGGGGTGTGTCCATCACACTGTTATTGTAATTATTGGTTTGGAAAGTCCAGCCCTTTGTCCTACCAGTGTAACCTGGTCAGTGTGAGCTCTAGTCATGTGCAGTCTGATCAACAGGGTAACGTGCACTAGGAGATAGACAGACACTGGTAGATGCAGAAAAACACTTGATACCTGCATTGTGTAGAATAAAATAATTTACTGCTTGACAATTTGTGAAAGGAATAGAAAAGATACACAGCATTTTACTTTATATAGTTAAAAGAATGGAATTTGTTTCAGGTTGGTTTTTTAAAATTTTATAACACACCAGTAAGGCCTTGTTTCAAATTGTGTACAGTGTTGTTTAGACATTGGTCACTGTATACAATGTTTTGGCGATAAATAGATTACTGCTCTGCAATTAGTCGAGAGAAGAGTAACCAGATACAGCCTTGGGCTCACAGGAATGTTGAACTCTGAGGGCTAAATGAACTGTACCTGTCCAGTCTTATAAGAGTGATGGAGGGGAGTCTGATTCAAGATCAACACAGCCTCTCCTGAACATCACATATGTATCGACAGACACATGTACGATGAACAAGAGTGTTTCTGATGGGATGCATATGGTTACTGTCCTTCAGCCCATTGTCCAGGTGTGGAGATACAGTATTAGATTCATGAAAAAAACTGTATCAATGCTGTTCTCAGGGTCAGTTTATCGAGACCCTGGTTAACAGGGCCCAGTTTGTTGTCCATGAAGAGTAATGGGTCAATGATTCCACCAATAGAGTTCAGAGGTGGAGCCTTCGCTACTGACCCACGAGGTATAGATTACTGAATCATCTCTACCTTTCTTAATTATTTTTTATCAAAGTGTGAGATGTGTGAGTAAAGATGTTATAGCCAAAAAATATTACTAAAGTCTACAGCTACAAACATACATGTGTGTTCAACGAGTGTGTATCCAATGCAGATACTGTACGATCACAGACACACGTGTTGAGGAGCAGAGAGGTGTAATTGATCACATCAGTGACGAGCAGCAGAATATAGAACCTGGATTCCTCAAAGCATGTCTGTGCTCTTGAAGTTCTTTTCACCTCATGTGTGACAGAAGCAGAGATCTTTAGAACCAGCTTCCAGATATGTGTCCATGAACACTGAATCTACAACAGATCAACCACTGTAGTGAGGAAGAGGAGCTCCACTAGGACACTCAGTCCATTTACACAATAAGATGAACCTGGAATTATAGAGCTGATTTCCCTTTCAGTTGTATTGGCAGTACATTGATGTCAACCTGATGCTGATGGTGGTGCTGGCAGCTGTAATTATGTGTGAGTCCTGTAGTCAAGTCAGGTCAGAGTCAACAGGGTGATGTGTTGTAGGAGATAGACAGACACTGGTAGGGTCATGCAAACAATTGATGCCTGCAATGAATAATATAATTTACTTCTAGACAGTGTGAGAAAACAATAAAAATGACGCACAGAATGTTAGGTTATATTTAAAAGCAAAGTAAGGTTTAGTTAAAAAATAATTTATTGAATGACATTTTGTTAAAATTGAATAAAGCACTAGTGAGGCCTCATTTGAATTATTTACAATTTTCCTAAGCATTTGGTCAGTGAGTACAAAATTTTGTTAACAGATCACTGCTCTGCAGTTAGTGCAGAGAAGAGGAACTAAATACAATCCCGGGCTCAAAGGAATGTCTAACACTGATAGTTAAAAGAACTGAACCTTTCTAGTCTGATAGGATTGACTAAGGGGAGTTTGATTCAAGATTATAGAATCCTAAAGATATAGACACAGTCTATAGGGACATGAGTTGAAACTGCAGAGAAGTGCATTTTAAACAGAGGACAGGAGGCCCTTCCTTACACAAAGAGCTGTTGTACTGTGGAACATGCAACACGGCCATGTGAATGATATTGATACCCTGGTGTCTTTCAAGAAAACACAGAATGAGATATGAAACAATTAGCTACTAACTGCCAAACTGGTTGAACGGGCTGAATGGGCTCGTCTAGTTGTTACACATTCCCACACCCACACCCTTTAACAAACGCTCACGCCACAAATAACACACTTATCACCGTTCACTCCCCTAACTATTTTAGCTCTCCTCCTTTCTCATTTCCCTGCTCACTATTACGGATTCTCTTAGAGCTTCCAAGCGTGCGTTTATCTCTTGCTTTAAACTCGGATACGTTCTTCACCCTGTGATTTGGATTGTTGCTTCCTCGTTGTCTCCCCGTGTTCTGACCTACCCGCCCGCTTCCTGGATACGTTCTCCGCCTTGTGTTTTGGATTATTGCTTCCTTGTTGCCTCTCCATGTTCCGATCCTCTCTCCTGCCTCCTGGTGTTCGTTTTTGCTTGGCGATTCGGCTTGGTGTTTTCCTCTGTCTCCTGCATCCTGCACAGGATCCATTCACCCTATCAGTCCCATTCTGACACTAGTGACTGTAGTCTAGCTGTGTAAATCAGGAGCACTATTTGTACTTGCTGGGTTTTCCATTTTTTCACCTTCAGGCTGTGTTGAAATCCTGCTGCTTTTATAAGACTTATAATTTAAAGTGGACCAGAGAAGGATTTATACATAATTAAATTGAATATATAATCTGACTCTGTGAATGATGAAAATAGTAAGAAATGAGAAGATCCCAAGTAAAATACACTACTGATTGGAACAAGTAATGGGTTTATTCCATGCTGAAAAGAGAAGAAAGAAAACACAACATTTTGGCTGTGGAACCGAAGAAGAAGGCTGAAGAAGGCTCCTGAAGATGGCTCCACGGACGAACCGTTGTCTTTTCTTTCTTCTCTTTCCAGCCTGGAATAAACTTATTACTTGTTCCATTGCAGCTTATGCATGCTGACGCAGCTACCTACCTGAACTACTACACTACTGATTTATCACTTATACCTACATCACCAGCAACATGATCAATGTATGACTTCAGCTTAGCAGCTCTGCCTCTCCAGTTAAAAAGTGACTCCAGGTCCTCTGAGCTGCTCCAGTCTGGAAGCCAGAAGAAACACCCTGGAGTTCCGGCTCTTGTTCACACACTGGGACTGTGTGCTGCCTCCTGCAGGCTCTTTCCTTCACCCCATGAAGAGGGAAAGGGGCTGTGAGGCTGGAGGTGAAGAGAGAGATCAACCCCAATACCAGCACAGTCACACATGAACATCACAATGGCAGCAGCAGAGACACTTGCACACTGACCAAGTGTGTGTTTGAAGTTACACATGGCCATGTACTTTAGCCTAGTGTCAAGGTGGGGAGAGGAAAATATGATGGAAAGAAAGAGCTTTAGAATCCAAACCAGAAATCAGAGCCGTGATAGAGGGAGTTCAACAGAGCCAGATTTATTAATCCTGCAGAACAGAAATTTTCCAGTGACATAATCCACTGTCTAATCAATAGTTCTCAAAAATAGAAGCAGCTGCTTATCAACACATTTTTGTGTCAAGAAAGCTCATTCCAGTTTCTATGTTCAGTTTTACACTGAAAATATTCACATCTCCAGAACCCAGTCAAGTGTACCCAGGTTGCACAAAAATGCTGAAAATAAAAACATGCTAATGGATGGAGTAACCATGTGATGTATAACCACTGTAGACATGATCAGAGAAACACAGGTGCTGAGGATCAATGAGCTGTAATTCAATACAGGAGTAATGAGCAGCACAATATAGAACCTGGATTTCTCAAAACATGTCTGTGCCTTTGAAGCACAGCCTCTCCGGTGCTCATCATAGGCATTAACAGGTGTGGAGAGTGGAGATTAATTAAAAATATATTGGTGCTGCTCACAGAGTCAAACTGGAGAGAACATGGTCAACAGGGCACACCTTTGTGTCCTTGAAGAGGGACCTATTAAGACTCTGGCCAAATCAAGACAGAGAAGAAGGAAGAACATGAAGCACCTGGAATATCTCATTGTCTGTACTGGTACAGCAGAATGAGACCCCAGATCATGGAAATGGTTTCTCCAACATAACACATCGCACACAGGTGTCTCCCATTCCAAACATGTCTTCCAGGTCATGTGTGTAACGAACAGTTCTTTTCAGACCCTATGCGGACGACACAATAGTGAGGAAACACGGGGAAAAAAGTCATGCAGGAGACGGGGAAAAAGACAGGGGGCAGGTCCAAAATGCACTGCTGCACTGGGGAGTTGTGGCTGAGGCAAACACTCCAAAAGAAATCCAGATAGGGAATCCAAAAACACAAGCATAAGTTAAAAACATGATAGAGTCAGACCCATCAGAACCCATCAGAACCCATCAGAACCCATCAGAACCCATCAGAACCCATCAGAACCCAGGCTCACACAATATGGAAAGCAGATGCAGAGCTTCAATTGGCAACTGCGTCTGGCTTTTAAAGGGGGACAGGAAGGAGGCTGGAACAAGGGACAGGTGTGGGGATTAAGGCAAACGAGGAAGGCTGGAGTGCACTTAACTGGAGGGGTTAGTGATCGTGACAATGTGGAGACCTGATAATGGTGAAAGGAGCAGGACAGTGATGTCTGGGAGCTCCTGGTCATCAACTGCCATGGAGGCAGCTGTTACAAGAGGGCTGTTTGGCTCTGGGTTGTGCAGGTTCACTTCAGCAGCTGGAAGGTGGAAACTCTAAACAATAAAAAAAATAGTAGGACTTGTTAGATTTCTCAATTAAATCATCTGGTTTTGCTATTTTGTAGAATAATGTTGATAACATGCAATTTTAAATATTGATAAAATGTTAATTTTTAACATTCATAGAAGTAAACCTGTAATTTCAGAGACAAAACAATATACAGTATATTCCTGAGAGGACAGACTGTGTCACAGCAGAGTGATTTTGGAAAAACACACATTCTTAATAAAGAAAACATGTAACAATAACAGAATATAAATCTGTTTACATGAATAAGACAATTTACTTTAAATTGTGATTGTGTGTCTCCTCTTGTCTAGAGCTCTGTGTGTGTCTCTCCTGTCCTCAGCTCTGTGTTTGTTTGTGTCTGTCTCTCCTCTTATCCTCAGCTATGTCTTTCCCCCTTCCTGTCTTGAACTCTTTATGGGTGTTTCCATGTCTTATTTCTCCTGTCCTGAATTCTTGTGCCCTGCATTTTGTTTGTGCAAGAAGCAGTACAGAGGGGTTCAGCATGACGTCTGTGACTCCTGGTCTCTGAGTTAAAGGAACAATGTGAAGATCTCTGACTATTTTCTTTGCTCACAGATCTGCTGGGCATGAAAACATGTCCTGTGATTTCTGCATTGAGATGAAGATCAGAGCTGTGAAACACTGTGTCACCTGCACTGCCTCCTACTGTGAGACACACATCCGACAGCACTACTCAGTCCCAGCCCTGATGAAACACAGACTGGTGGACATCAGTGGAGACCAGCAGCCAAGTTTGTGCCAGCAGCACCACGGAGCTCTGGAGCTGTTCTGTAAGACTGATCAGACTCACATCTGCAGTCTGTGTTCAGTGGGGGAACACAGAGGCCATGACACCATCTTTATGTCAGAGCAGGTAATGACACAGGTAAGAGACTTCAGTCACACATCCTGAAATCATACCTGTGCTAAATATTGACACACATTTCACCAGCTGATTCACAGTACGTCTGTGTCTCTGTGCTGTGCTATCTGTTCACTGTACTGACAGACAGAGATCTGTAGTGACCTGTGTGGCTGAATTAATACACACTCATCACTGAGGGCAGCTGAATATCTGTGTGCTGTTTTATTTCACATGTACTGTACAGTGTAAAACATTAGTGACCAGAACTCAGTATCTCAGTACAGAAACACTAAGGAATGGACTCTTATTCTTACTGTGGAACTGTTATCACTATGGATGCTGTCATTCTCTCTCTATGAAAGCTTCATATCTCCACCAGCCATATCACCCTGCAACTCACAACTGGCAACTCTCTGCTGCTAAGCAGGTGTGAGCCTGGTCAGTACCTGGATGGGAGACCTCCTGGGAAAAACTAAGGTTATGGCTGGAAGAGGTGTTAGCAGGGCCAGCAGGGGGTGCTCACCCTGCAGTCTATGTGGGTCCTAATGCCCCAGTATAGTGATGGGGACACTATACTGTAAACAGGTGCTGTCCTTTGGATGAGACAAAAAACCAAGGTCCTGACTCTCTGAGGTCATTAAAAATCCTTTTTCTTGAAAAAGAGCTTCTTGAAAAGAGTAGGGGTGTAACCCCTGTGTCCTGGCCAAATTTCACATTGGCCCTTACCAAATATTGGCCTCCTAATAATGCCCATCTATGAATTGGCTTCATTACTCTGCTCTCCTCCCCACTGATAGCTGATGTGTGGTGAGCGTTCTGACGCACTATGGCTGCCGTCGCATCATCCAGGTGGATGCTACACATTGGTGGTGGTGGAGGGGAGTCCCCATTACCTGTAAAGCGCTTTGAGTGGAGTGTTTAGAAAAGCGCTATATAAGTGTAAGCAATTATTATAATTATTATTATTATAATCTCTTGATTCCTTTAAATCTGCCAATTTTAACTCTTCCAGAGGTCTCACCCCTTTCTCTGCTCTGTTTGTTCAGGGTGTGAGGAGGGCTGTGACAGGTGAACCTGAGGATTTCTGCACAGGAGGATTCAGGGAGACTGTCCAAACAGGTTAGTGTTTGAGAGTGTCCCTCAGGAGAAGGACAGACCAGGTCTGTGTGTGTGAATGAGTGTGCTTTGGCAACTGGAATCAATTAAACATAATAATTTAAAGTCTTACCCACAGATTCTAAATATACAGTCTACACTTTATTGATACAACACTAAAACATGCATAACAAACCAACAAGAATAAAATAATATATTTTTGATAATAGTAAATAATAATAATAATAAATAATAGTTTCACATAGAAATAATACAGACATAGCCAGCAGCCACTTTGCAACTCACAACTGCCAACCCACTGAAGCTAAGCAGGTGTGAGCTGTGTCAGTAACTGGATATGAGACCTCCTGGAAAAAAAACTAAGGTTGCTGCTGGAAGAGGTGTTAGTGGGGCCAGCAGGGGGCGCTCACCCTGAGGTCCATGTGAGTCTTAATGCCCCAGGATAGTGGCGGGGACACTATACTGTAAGCAGGCACCGTCCTTTATGATGAGATGTAAAACTGAGGTCATCTCTGTGGTTATTAAAAGTCCCAGGGTGTTTCTCGTAAAGAGAAGGGGTGTAACCCCGGTGTCCTGGCCAAATTTCCCATTGGCCCTTACCAACCATGGCCTCCTAATAATCCCCCTCTATGAATTGGCTTCTTTACTCTCTGCCCTCCTCCCCACTAATAGCTGATGTGTGGTGAGTGTTCTGGTGCACTATGGCTGCCGTCGCATCATCCAGGTGGATGCTGCACATTGGTGGTAAGCAATAAGCAGCCTCTTCAAGGTCCTAGATATCAATTTTACTTCATTACTGTTTCCTTGTTGTTGTGGTAGTGCTGAAAAAAACTTTATTTTAGCTTCCATTACAATATTAATGTATTTTTTCACATAGGAACATGTAATACTGTAGGTTTATTCGCCTTCTGTGCACTATTTTTGTTTCACTTCTGTGCTTTTTGTTCTCAGTTTCATTTTTATTCATTTCACCTGTGGGCAGAGCAGCTTCTCTGGGTGGTCATCCTGCCCTGAATTCTTAAGCCCGTCTGCACCCCTGTCTTTGTTTCTCAACATTATGATTCTGCTCTGAAGTCAAATCACCACTTTCCCCTGGAGCTCAGCATCAGGATTCTGTTCCAAGGCCAAGATTCCTGTGTCCTTTTTTCCTGGGAGCTCAGCATAGGATTCCTTTCCGATGCTGAGAATGCCCATTTCCTGACGACGGGCTGATTCACCAGGTTAGAGATCCCCAGGCTGGACTCTAACCACCCTCTCCTTTTGTCACTGAAGCAGTCTGTTCTGTTTTTGCCCTGCCCTAGCACTTTTTTTAACTTTTGCACTTTTCTCTGTCTTCTTTCCTGTCACCTTTCTGACCTTTCTTGAGGCGACTTCCTTTCCTGACTCAGGGCTCTTTTCTCTTCTTCACCCTTTTTTCTCAGGCTGTCTGGGTACCTTTCTTTCTTTCTTTTTCCAGTCTCCTTCCTGCATTTCAGCAGAGCCTTCTGTTCCTTCCTGGGGAGCCAGGCATCCTGTGTCCACTCTGTCTGGAGAGCATTTCCCTGTTAGCCTGGCCTCCCTCTGGATTCCTGTTCCCAGGCTCTGACTGGGACATACTGTATAGCTCTGAGAGCTGAGAGGGAATTTAGGAAGGGTCCATTGCCTCCCGTCCATCCCAGATGTCTCCCCTGCCTGGATATCTGTTTCTGTTGGCACCCAGGCGTCTCTGTCAGAGAGGTTTAACTTTGGAAACCGAGCTGACAGCACCCGCCTGACCTGGTCTTGGAGGAAACCCACCATAGAGCATGTGCCTTCAATTACTGGCTCTGGGGGTCTGTGACTGGTCCACTGTGTTGGGGTTTCCTGCCTCACTGGTTTTGGTGAGAACCATATTCTTGGTTAAGTCTCTGTGTAAAGGCACAGCTGTGTTTTACCCTTGCCAGCCTGCAAGCCCTGGCTACTTGGAGGGCTGTTTTCCAGAACTGTGTGGCCCCCTTTCCTTCTGGGGGCTTGGTAGCTGGTTCCGTTCTGGCCCTGAGTGTCCCAGATTCTGGTCGGTGGGTTGGGATGAGCAGTCTAACTTGGGGCTGGTGGTTTGCCATGCCAGACTCTCTCTTTGGTCACCAAGGATGCGTACAGCCTGTATCTCCCAGATGGTCGTGCCTCACTTGGTTTCCTTTCTAGCTGACCAGCTGGGACCTTGTTCCACTGGCCAGTTCTGTTTAACTTTTTTTATTTTCTTTTCCATTACTGTCTGGCTTGGGCTGATTAAGCCCTGCCGATCAGTAATCAGTTATATAATCAGTTATCAGTAATCAGAATCAGTAATCAGTTATCAGTCTATAATATCTTTATATATAATATAATATCTTTTGTGTTTCTAATTCCCTTTCACTTTCCCTCTGTCCAGGATCATCCGAGCCCTCAATCAGCCGGGTCTCCCTGGGTGTTCTGTCACTCTTGTGCTTCAGACACAGCACCACCCTCTTGGCTATTACTGGCTGTTGCCTTACAAGCCCTTGCCTTTACAATGAGGTACAGAGAGAACTTCCCCTGTTGATATAAATATAGGGGTAGAAAAATTAAATAATGAAAAAAAAAGTTTAAGTTTAAGTTTAAGTATTAAAATAATTAAATTCCAAAGCATAATACAACTTAAAATATAAATATATAAAAATATGCTCTCCAGTTAATACAGTAAACATTGGAGTGTGAGTGTTATCTTTCAGTGAATTTATAAATAACATTGTTACCTGTAGGGTTACAAAAATAGATATTTACAGAAAATGCTAAATAATTATAACCGCCAAATTGTAAAGATATCCTGAGAATATACCTGAAAATACTGAGAGGACACCCCAGACTCCATAGAAAGTATTGAACTGCTATATAACACCTCCACAGACCAACAAGAGAGACAGACCTTCCTTCTGCACCAAAGAGAATGTGACCTCCAGATAAATCTCTAATAATAATAATGATAATACAATTATTTATATAGCATATTCCATTACAATGAATCTCAATGTGCTTCTAGTTCACCTGTGCCCAGGGCTGGTCGTGTTTGCAGGTACAGTAAACCCTAAGTATGACAGGCTTCGTGTAACTGTCCGTAAAAAAAAATCCCTCAGGGGACAATAAAAATATTTTTTAAAAAACTGTGTGTACTGTGGATTAAACAGACAAAATCTGTTATAGCGTAATTTTGTCTGTAGAATCAGAAATGCCTTTCCTTTCCCTGAAATAATGAGAAAATGCACACATATTAAAATAAGGTTCAAATAGTTTTAATAATAAAATTCAGGAATATCAATGGAGCACTATAGGGGTAGCTCACTTGCCTGGTGGGTTTCTTAACCTTCTTAACCTTCTTAACCTCATTAAAAATGACAGGCCAAACATAACACCAACTCCATCATCAAGTTTGCGTATAACACCACAGTTGTAGGTCTGATCAAAGACAATGATGAGAGGGCCTACAGGAAGGAAGTCAATCTCCAACAACCTCACCCTCAATGTCAGCAAAACCAAGGAGCTGATCGTTGATTTCAGAAAACAGCTAAATGGTCATGCCCCTATCCACATCAACGGGACAGAAGTGGAAAGGGTCACATTCCTTTGCATCCATACTGTATTACCCAGGACCTCACATGGTCTCTCAACGCCACGTGTCTGATTAAGAAAGCGCAACAGCACCTTTACTTCCTAAGACGGTTGAAGAAGGCTAAGATATCTCCCCAGGTCCTCACTAACTTTTACAGATGTACTACAGAAAGCATACTGACAGGTTGCATTAAAGTGTGGTGTAGGAGTTTTGTGAATTTACCCGAACAATTTATTAATTGTAGCAGTACTCACAAGGTGATGTGTTATGGCTATTAGAAAATCAAATTGATCAGTGATGCACACACATGGATTCAATACACGAAATACATTTATTAATACAGATGTAGCCATTCAAAATGGGTGGGGTATTTCGCGGCATACCCCGGTGGGCGTGTCGCGGTATCATGCGGTATCACGCGGTTAATCGCGTCATTTGACGTCATGCCGGAAAGTATCCGGTATCACCTTGTAAAACCGCCCGGGGGAGCTTAACCTCTCATGTACAGCATTTGAGCTTTTAAATTTGAACTGTGTATTACAGCATGTTAATCATCAGTCATTAAAATGTTGGTATATTTTATGAAAGCAAGATTGCTCAGTTGGACAAAAGTACACAACCTACCTTTATCAGAAATATTTATGCTTCAAAGCCTTTAC